TGTGTGTGTGTGTGTATGTGTGTGTGTGTGTGTATGTGTGTGTGTGTGTGCCATTGCATTCATGTGGTGGTCAGAGGATGACTTGCAACAGTCAGGTCTCCCCTTCCACTGTGGGCTCTGGGGATTGAACTCGGTCATCAGGTTTGTGTGTCAAGTGCTTTTAGCCACTGAGCCATCCCCCTGGCCCTTCTGGCTGGCTTTTTTGGGCTGGCTGGAGGAACTGTTGGGTGGGATTTTTGATTCAGTCAGAGAATTTCCAGCCTCTCTCTACCATCCATAGGGACCATTTGGATTGAGCACCCAGAACACCATGCACGGAAAGAGAAAAGGACCCCACTTACCAGGAGTAGGGGGTAAATAGGAGAGAAGAGAGCTACACAGTGTCGTCTCCCTCTGTAGCGTTTCTTACTTCTGGTCCCAAGGCAGGATACACTTGTGGTCCATAACACGGGAATGGCATATGCCAGGCAATCAATACAGTGGACACAATGTGGCTGCTTGGTGCCCACCTTTTCAGTGACTGTCCCTATGGACATCCTCCACCTCATCTGAAGAAATGTCTGATGACAGCAGCCCTTGGCCTTAGCAGTGCTCCCCACTTGAGCAGGCCTCTTCCTCATACCATCTCAAAGCCCATCTCAGGAGTGGCCCCTTACCCATTGGCTCTTGTCCTCCCAGGTCCTGTCCTGGCACAGTCCTGATCCTCCAAATTAAAGCAGGCCATGGCTGAGCAGTACAGCTCAGCACTCTTGCTCTTTCTGCAGATTGAGGTTTATAAGAAGGCCAGCATGTATCTTTCTTTTTACCCCAGGGGGAACTCATGAACATACTGAATAGGGAATTCTCCATGTGAGAAGACAGATGGGAAAAAGGCACAGGCGCCAAGTGCTTCTGCCTTTGCATTCCCATCAAGCTGTGCGGGCTTACCTGATGGAGGCTTTCCTTCCTTGTTCTTTTGGCTGCGCACAGTCCTTATCATTGTCTTCATTGTCAGGGCTTCTGCTCAATCTGTGGTTTGGCATTGTGTGTGTGTGTGTGTGTGTGTGTGTGTGTGTGTGTGTGTGTATGCGTAAATATCCCCATGTACTATTCAGCAGAAATGGAGACAGTGGATGTCATGCTCTCTTCCTCTTTTCCAACATCTCTTCAAGTGTTTCCTGGGACTGGTGCTGGCTTCGGGATGGACACATTCTAGACTACTCAAACATTTTGTTTAGAAAATTTACATTGGCATTCACACTAATACAGTATGTAATATTCTTTCTTGTATGCCGTATTTATCAGGTATAGATAAATATTATACCTGCATCATAAAAATGGACCTCATAGTTTTTCTTCATTTGTACACGCTGAAATGATTGGGGTAGCATCAGGACCTGTGGAGATAGAATTGGAATATACGGTCCCTGTGGAGATAGAATTCACCTGAGCTGCCATGTGGGCCTATTGCTTTTTGTTGGGATAGTTTTTCCATAGGTATTGTCACTGTCTTTCTTTGTTTTTCCCTGTGGAAAATGTTCTGTTTAGTTTTTCTTGCTGTTGGTAAACTGTGTTTCCTTAGAATTATTCCTTTCAGCTAGGTTTACTTATGTATGTGCAGAGAAGTAGCACACCTGAAGCGTGTTACAGCTCAGCACCCAAGGCCTGCATCCATGAGAGCTGCTATCTGCTTCTCATACATGTCCTTCCCAGACCCTGTCTGCACTACTGATGAGTTCTCCTTTCCCCTTTTCTTCCTAAAGATCTGTTGGTCAGGTTGATAAATCTGCCAAACCACCTAATAGTCATTCTGGGATTTTGTGACATCCTCTTTTGTCAGAAGCCCAGGGTTCTGGAAAAGTGCCATCAACTCAGGCAACCCATTTTCCTTCCCAGTGCTGTGTATGCTGCTAGCTGTGAGTCCCATAGCCACTTCTTGGACTCTGCCAGTATCTCAGACTAACAAACTTTTGGAGACAGGCATTGAAATTCCTGTCTGTGCTCTTTGCTCTCAGGGAGAGATCAGTGGATTTGTGTAATGGGGGTTGGCACTCCTGGGTCCCATCCCAGGATACCATGATACCATGCCTACCTCAGCTGTTCTGGGGTGAGGCAGAGATTATGGGATTCATTCCTTTTGCTATAGACCTGGACCATATCACTCCTAGTATGAAAAGGAACCAGAAAAATGTCAATATCTTTCCTGTCTAGTTTATCTTACACAGAGGTCCTTGAGTTTCCAAGTTCATTCTGTTAAAAATTTTTGGTAGTCTAGTAAGTTTCAAGTGAAATGCTTGAGTATTTTTTTCTGGGTGTGTTTGTTTTTATTCTGTTTGTGGTGGTTGAGATTGAACACACGGCTTCCTGTATACTAGGCAAGCACTCTCCACTGAGCTCCATCCTCAGCCCACTTCAGTGTTTAATGTTAGCCAGCTTAATCCAGTAGTTGCCCCCAAACAACAGACAGGATTGTGGTATACGTGGTTTTTTTTTATATTGCCCAAACATTATTGCATGTAAATGTTAGTATTATGCACCAACAGTGGGACCTGGCCTGCTAGAAGAGTAAGGACGGGGCCCCTCACTGCAGCAGAAGTTGATCATTCCCGAAGGGGTTATCTACCTCTGACCTCATGAGAGTCAGGCTGAGGCATGAGTGACCTGTCCTGCCCATAGCAGGGAGGAGCCCGGGTAGCAGGCCTGCTGGCTGCTGTGATCCTCCTGCCCAGGACACCTGGGGCAGTGTCTCTTGGGAGCAGGTGGGGAGAGAAGCTGCTCCCTGGCATGTGCTCCCCTCCTGGCCCAGGGTCAGTGCCCAGACAGCATGGAAGAGACTTTTCATAGCCTGCTTCTTTCCAGGCTACCAAGGGCAAGGACCCGGCCCCCGGGGTCAAGGATGGGAAGAGCCTCCTGGGTGGACCAGTCCCTGGAGAGGCCAGCTGGGCACAGCAACGACAGAGGCGTCTACAGGACCACGGCAAGGAGAGGAGAGAGCTGTTGTCCACTTCCTCCTCCCAGGTAGAAGGTGTCGAAGCTGCCGAGGGATCCTTCGGGCCTCCTCTGAGCCCCGCTGCCATGCAGGGCCTGCCCTGGCCCGCTTGGTTGTAATCGCACCATGATGGGTTGGGTTCTGCTTTGCCTGCTTTTCTTTTGGCAGCATTTCATCAAGTAGGGCCAGAAAGTGCTTTGGAAATGAGTTCTGGAGACCCCAGCATAGCAGCCTGTCCTACGAGTGAACTGTATGTCACGGGCCATGGGACTTGATTCCTTTAGTTTAACCTGATGTGCTGGCCCACAGCATCCCTTTCTTCTGCTCCACCCAAGTCCTGGCTCTGCGGCTGCTGTGCTGATTGATAGCCATGTGCCGGCTCAGCGAGATGCTTGGCCATATCCTTCCCATGCCGAGCCTTGGGGATGGCAGTTTCTGCTCTGGGAATGTTGACTAGGGTTAGCTTTTCTATTTCTGCCAAAAGCTCGAGGTGACTTACCCTTTGTCTTCTTAGCCACTTCTCTCCCTATTGGGGCCCCTTGTCCATTTAAAGGCAGTTTGCCCTTATGTAGCCTAGTGGTGGCCCTGGTGTGGTGGCCACTCCCACACTGTTCAAGGTTTGAGCTGCTCTTGGAGTCCTGCCACAACCCATAGGCTCTGAGGGCCTGCTGTTAGAGTACTGTCATCCTGAGGGCCACCTGGGCCTCAGGGCCTCAGGGTGGCCAGTGCCCCCTAGTCCTTGGCTTTTTCAGGTGAGCACTGAGTAGTTGTGGTGAACCACACTTGGTGCCACAGGAAGGCTGGCACTGGACAGCTGCTGAGGTCCTTGGGCCTCCCTCTTCACGCCTGATCAGTGGCCTCAATTCCTAGTCTCTTGGTTCCCCCCTTAAGGCAGGCGATGCTGGTTGGCATGGGTGCACCACGAGGGCCAGGCATCACGTTGACAGATCTAGTTTCACACCATGTTCTACCCTCTGCCAGCCTGTGCTTTTGGGGAAGGGCATTTAGCTTCTGCCTTCAGTTTCCACATCTGGAAGTGGGATGATAGCAGTGTTGCATATGGTCAGAGAAGTAAGTGAGGGACATGTGTGAGCCACCTAACACAGGACCTCTCACTAAACCCTGCTTCTTATCCTCCACCTGGCCCACATCAAGGCAGGGGTATGTCCTGAGTTCCATCAGCTGCGACAGGAAGGGTAGCCCCAGCCTCTCTTCATCCTCAGACCTCTGAGGGGATTGAAGTTTCCAGGAAGGGGCTTGGTGGGGAGCAGGCACCCCACTCTTCCCAGGGGAGCTGAGTGCAACTTTGAAGCCCAGAGCTGACCTTTCATGGCTGTGACCTCCCACTTGGATGAGGGTGACCCTTTCTCAGCTGACGTACTCCTGCTTTGCTGGTCACAGTGTATGGAGAAGAAGCCAGAAGGCGGTGGCCCAGAGGCTGAACCCTGCCCCGAGCTCCACATGGAGCCGGTGGAGCCGCTGACCCGGGTGTCTGCAGTGGGCCCTGAGGGAGGAGGAGGCCGCCCTGAACAGCCCTTCATTGTGCTGGGCCAGGAGGAGTATGGGGAACACCACTCATCCATCATGCACTGCAGGTGGGTCTGGTCACTGGGCTTTCAGGCAGTGTGCATGAAAATTGGTGGCAGGGGCTGTCAGAGGGTGGCTGGCTCTGAAAGCCATGGTCCCCTCAGGGTCAGAGGAGTCCTGCTGGGAGCTGCTGTTACAGTGGTCTTGCTCAGATTCAACTCAGTTTTAATCTGCTTTATGTTAGTGCTTGTACAGAAATTCTTCCCCATGTGTAAGTCTGTATTTAAACATGGTAAAAGCATGTTCCTTCAAGAACAACCCCTAAAGGAGTGTGGCTTCAAGGTGTAGGTGGCCTCTTGTTTTGACAGCCCTGATCTGCCCTTGGCTCTTGGGCTGATCTGCAGTGTGAGGTGGGAATCTCTAAACCTTGGACCACAGGTGCCCTTGGACCACAGGACAGGCTCTGGACTCAGCTCATGTGTGTACACATGTAAAGCTATGCATGTCATAGTGCCTGGCAGTATTTCATTTATTTGTTTCTTATTGTATGTATATGTGCTTGCTTGTTCTCTCTGTGTGTAAGTGTGCCTGCCTGTGTGGAGGTCTGAGGACAACTTTTGGGAGTCAGTTCTCTCCTTTTCCCATGGATTCTGGGGATTGAACTCAGGTCATCAGACTTGTACAAGAGCTTTTACCTGCTGAGACATTTCACCAACCCTGTAATAATATTTCTTTTAAAAAAGAATTTTTAAGGTATTTTATTTTAATTGTGTGTGTGTGTGTGCGAGTGTGCGAGTGTGCGAGTGTGCCTGTAAACGGGAGTGCAGGTGCCCACAGAGGCCAGAGGTGATAGATCCCGTTGGAGCTGGAGTTACAGGTGATTGTGACCGCCCTAATGTGGGTACTGGGAACTGAGCTCAGGTCTTCTGGAAGACAGTACATGCTCTTAACCTGTGGGCCCTCTTTCTACTCCCCCTTTTTACTTAATTTTTAATTTTTAAAAATTTGTTTTTATTTTATGGGTATGAGTATTTTGTCTGTACTCGTGGCATGCAGTGCCCACAGAGGCCAGAAGAGGGTATGGGAGCCACTGGAGTTACAGACAGTTGTTAGTGGCCATGTGGTTGCTGGGAATTTGAACCCGGGCCTTCTACAAAAGCAGCCAGTTGCCTTTAACCACTGATCATTTTGGTGGGGGGTGGAGGAGTTGGTTGAGACAGGCCTCCCTGCAGCCGCAGCTGACCTGGAATTCACAGTGTAGACCACTCTGGTCTTGAAATCACAGAGATCCCCTTGCCTTTGCCTTCCAAATGCTGGATTTAAAGGCATGCACCACCGTATCTGGTATCCCCCACTTTAAAAACTGTTTTAAAAGGTGTGTGTGCCTATGTGCACGTGATGTGTGTGTTTGGGCACTCTTGCCACAGCATTCGTGTGGAAGTCAGGGGGCAATTTTGTGGAGTTGATTTTTTTCCTTCCACATTTAGGCAGGTTATGTGGCTAGAACTCAGGTTGCCAGGCTTATGCAGCAAGTGCCTTCACCCACTGAGCCATCTCACTGGTCCTCTAATAGTATTTTGTGAATGATTGAATGTTTCTAGAAGCATCCACACTTATCCTTTGAGTACAGGCCTTTCGGCCTTTTAAAATCACTTGCAAAGTTGGAAGAGTGAATGTGTTGGTGTTGGCTGCAGAGGATGAGGCAGGCTGCTGACGCTCCTTTTGTCTTGTTACAGAGTGGATTGCTCCGGGAGAAGGGTTGCCAGTCTAGATGTAGATGGGGTCATCAAAGTGTGGTCCTTCAACCCCATCATGCAGACCAAAGCATCCTCCATCTCCAAGTCACCGCTGCTCTCTCTAGAGTGGGCCACCAAGCGAGACAGACTGGTGAGTGGTGCTTCATATGAAGAGATTGCCCTGTGGTTCAAGTTGAAAAATTCCCTGGGGATCTTGACAGGCCAAATCCAGGCACCAAGCTGAATCCCCTTCTAATCTGTCACTGGGATACGGGCCATACATTTGTGACCTGCCCAGCAGGCTCCTGCTTGGAATAGCAGTAAAGTTACTGGGTTCATCCTTTAAAGTAAAGTTACAGTGAGTCTGGGGGCAACCTGGAGATTGTGGGGACTTCGTCCCATCTGCTGATCTGCCCCTAGAGACCTCCTGGCTTCCTGTCCTCCTTCTGTGTATTTCTGATCACATTGTTAGTACATGCCCTTCTACTGCTGAGCCTGTCTGTCCAGGCCCTAAGAGCCGCAGCTTATGTGGGGACGGTTGGATTTCTAGTTTGTACTTCCCACTAGGATTTCTAGTTTGTACTTCTGGAACCCAGTGGCTCCAGAAGTGGTCCAGTGTTCTTTCCCCACTAGACTTTCCATCTGAGATGGGATTTACAGTTTAGGGAGTTAAAATCAATTACACCATTTTGCAGGTACCTACCCTGTAGCATGAGACAGGTACTAATTCTCCCTGCTGTCCAACAGGGAAAGGAATTGTCCTTGTGGGACAAGCATCTCAGGGCTTTCCCTGAACCAGTGTCCATTTGCCAGTGAACACAGAGGCTGCCACCTAGCTAATATTGGGGAGGGGGAGCACACCCCAGACCTGGGCTGCTCTGGCAATATTTTTTGTGGTATTTGTTATTATCTTCTAAGCTGTTTACCAGTAAGTCCTAAGTTCCTGGTCACAGAGGGTGGGGCCTGCTTTATGTTCTTCTAGAGGCCTTTATAGAACCAGAGCCAGAGCTGTCCCTGAAAAGGTAAATAGAGCACTTGCCCAGTCCCCATGTCAAGCCAGGTCCAGTCCTAGCAGACTAGGAGCAAGAAGGAAGGGTTGGAATAGTTGGGGTTTAAAACTGAGAGAAAAGAGGGAAAGACCAGAGGGTCTCATGTAATAACCAGCCAGACTATTTCCAAGTGTCTGAGATGACATACCTCTCCTATTCCATAGATGCTATATTAGTTTGTTTTCTCTTGTTATAACAACTTAAGCCTGCGTACTTTATAAAGAAAAGAAGCTTGTTTAGCCCACAGTTCTATAGGCTCAAGAACATGGTTCCAGCATGTACTTGACTCTGGTGAGGGCTCCCGTGGCTGCATCACAACATGGTGCATGAGTGGCATCATGGTGAGAGTGCATACAACAGGGAGAGATCACACCATGAGACAGGAAGCACTAAATCCCCTTACAGCCCAAAGCTTTCTCTCTCTCTCTCTCTCTCTTTTTTTT